ATCTTTAGAGGCCCCCCCCTCCCTCCATCAGCTCCTAGCCGACATCGGCCAAGGAGTGGATTTGGTGGGTGGGGGGAGGGTGGCTCACGACTGAGCATCTTAAACAGCTTTGCGATTTCTCTCGCTCTCTTCTGTTCTTCAGTTTCAACACGTAGGCTGTCGCGCCCAGTGTTATCCATGATAGAGGTGTTTTTTGGTTAGTTAGGTAGTTACATTTTGATTGAAAGCTTTCGTGACTGCAGGGATTCATATTCTTGGTTCTTTCGGTAAAGTCACGTAGAAGGGAAATAATAAAATAATAAAATAATTAAACGTTAAATTAAATTCTCACGACGTTTCGGCCACAACTCAAGCAGCCGTCCTCATGTGAAGAAACAGAGCTGTTTAATTTCACACTTAGTCGTCTGCACGGGCGTCGCTCGTGCCTCTTGCCTCGTGTGAACGGGGGCACCTGGATTTCGCGAGAGGCTTTTTGCTCTCCGTTGGCTACGTACGGCGCGAAAGAAGTTCACCGTACGTTGTATCTCTCCTCCGTTTCTCGTTAATTTGTATTATTGCTCTTACGCTTTACACCCCTGGACTCTACTCCCCTTCCCGCGGTGGTGTGTTTTTGTTGGATCCGGTAAAAACAAATATTATGATAATTTGAATGAATAAAATGTCCAAGTCGAAGAGCATATCACGACACGAATGACACGGAGGGAGCTAATCATTTGCATGGAGGTGGAAGCAGTGACGTAGCCACCAAGTGTACAGGCGGTGCAACTGCACCGGTGCCTACAGTGTGAGTCGAGGGGGGGGGGAGCCACACTCGCTATGAGTCGAGGGAGGGAACCACCCTCGATCTGAGTAGATTTCCCGTGAGCGATTTAGTTCCAGCCCTGGACGGTTTAACCGGCTGGGATCTCCGAAGAGGTTCCACCCAAGTGTCTAACATTCGTGCGTTGCAAACTCAAAGGCAGATTTCTCTAAGAGCCCCCCCCCCGCGCCATCGTCTAACCGAGTGATGCAGCAGCTGCTTAGTGTGCAAACGCCGTGTTTGGTCCTGACTCTGCCCTAAGCAAAGTAGATTTAATTTAAAAAATTTAATTAATTTTCCTCTTGCAGAAAACGACCCTAACCCAAAGCCGTGACCCCCCCACCAAAGCCACAACGTTCGGTGGCGAGAACAATTTTTTAGTTTTCCTTGGGGGGGGGGGTGGCTACAAATAGTCACTGAATGTTTACCCCCTGGAAACGATTTTAGAGGGAGGCGATATTGGGTTGGTCGCAGCTGTTCGCGGGGTCACCGGCAGGGTCACCTGCGGATTCACCGGCGGGGTCACCGGCGTGGTCACCTGCGGGTTCACCGGCGGGGTCACCGGCGGGGTCACCGATGGGGTCATTGGCGGGGTCACCGGTGGGGTCACCGGCCGTGTTGCTCCTGCGGTGGCGGTGGTGGCGGGGGGAGCTCGTAATGACCGCGGCCGCCTCGCGATCCAATCGGGTCGGGCGTGGGGGCTGGCAGGAGATCTCTTCCCGGGCATCTTATTAAAACAACGATTAAGCCGAGCGCGCTCGTTTTCTAAATAAATATATTATTATTATAATAACCGCTGCTGCTTTCGCACAGCGCGGTCCACGGGAATAACGATCATCATAATGAGCGGCGCTGCGATGATATTTTAGACGTGACGTCCGTACGCTTGATAATTATAATAATTGACTGGGTCAGGGGGAATCTTTAATATGCCGCCCTGATTTTGTATCTGTTGTTCATTACTTTAGTTATTTCTCTCTCGCTCTTTGAGTAAGTGAAATCGTGTTACTTTCTCCGCCGTCCGAATGCCTCGAATGGCAATGGCAGGGACCCGTGCCTCACTATGCCACCCTCCCAGGTTGTGACCCCCCCGCCCTCAGCCTCCAACCCCCACCGGCTCTTCCCCCCTCCCTCCCCCCCCTGTGTTTTGAGATGTGAGGATTTCCCCTCCTGGGCAATAAAAAAAACCTCGCAACCTAAAACAACACGGCGAACAATAACGAGCGACGCTTCCTGGGGGAAGCGTTAAAAAAAAAAATTTACACGCACCAGCGTCAGCACCAGCTCCGCCACCGTTGGATGGACCCGGCTCGCGGCGCCCAAAGTGCCGCTCGGCACGGCGCGGTTCGGAAAAGGTGGCCGCCCGCGGCGGCAGATACCTTGACGCCGCAGGGGCGGTCGTCGCAAGCGCTCAAATCCAGCACTCACTGACAAAACAACGACATAACCGTGCTAATCGGAGGTGCAGTGTTGGGTCCATGGGCAGTGTTGGGTCCATGGGCAGTGTTAGTCTATGGGTAGTGTTGAGTCTATGGGCAGTGTTAGTCTATGGGCAGTGTTGAGTCTATGGGTAGTGTTGAGTCTATGGGCAGTGTCAGTCTATGGGTAGTGTTAGTCTATGGGTAGTATTAGTCTATGGGTAGTGTTAGTCTATTGGCAGTGTTGAGTGTATGGGCAGTGTTGGGTCCATGGGCAGTGTTAGTCTATGGGCAGTGTTGAGTCTATGGGCATTGTTAGTCTATGGGTACTGTTGAGTCTATGGGCAGTGTTAGTCTATGGGCAGTGTTGAGTCTATGGGCATTGTTAGTCTATGGGTAGTGTTGAGTCTATGGGCATTGTTAGTCTATGGGTAGTGTTGAGTCTATGGGCAGTGTTAGTCTATGGGTAGTGTTGAGTCTATGGGCAGTGTTAGTCTATGGGCAGTGTTGAGTCTATGGGCATTGTTAGTCTATGGGTAGTGTTGAGTCTATGGGCAGTGTTAGTCTATGGGCAGTGTTAGTCTATGGGCATTGTTAGTCTATGGGTAGTGTTGAGTCTATGGGCAGTGTTAGTCTATGGGCAGTGTTGAGTCTATGGGCAGTGTTGAGTCTATGGGCATTGTTAGTCTATGGGTAGTGTTGAGTCTATGGGCATTGTTAGTCTATGGGTAGTGTTGAGTCTATGGGCAGTGTTAGTCTATGGGTAGTGTTGAGTCTATGGGCAGTGTTAGTCTATGGGCAGTGTTGAGTCTATGGGCATTGTTAGTCTATGGGTAGTGTTGAGTCTATGGGCAGTGTTAGTCTATGGGCAGTGTTAGTCTATGGGCATTGTTAGTCTATGGGTAGTGTTGAGTCTATGGGCAGTGTTAGTCTATGGGCAGTGTTGAGTCTATGGGTAGTGTTGAGTCTATGGGCATTGTTAGTCTATGGGTAGTGTTGAGTCTATGGGGCAGTGTTAGTCTATGGTAGTGTTGAGTCTATGGGCAGTGTTAGTCTATGGGCAGTGTTGAGTCTATGGCATTGTTAGTCTATGGTAGTGTTGAGTCTATTGGGCATTGTTAGTCATATGGGTGTTGAGTATATGGGCAGTGTAGTCTATGGGTAGTGTTGAGTCTATGGGCGTGTTAGTCTATGGGCATTGTTAGTCTATGGGTAGTGTTGAGTCTATGAGCATTGTTAGTCTATGGGTAGTGTTGAGTCTATGGGCATTGTTAGTCTATGGGTAGTGTTGAGTCTATGGGCAGTGTTAGTCTATGGGCAGTGTTGAGTCTATGGGCATTGTTAGTCTATGGGTAGTGTTGAGTCTATGGGCATTGTTAGTCTATGGGTAGTGTTGAGTCTATGGGCAGTGTTAGTCTATGGGTAGTGTTGAGTCTATGGGCAGTGTTAGTCTATGGGCAGTGTTGAGTCTATGGGCATTGTTAGTCTATGGGTAGTGTTGAGTCTATGGGCAGTGTTAGTCTATGGGCAGTGTTAGTCTATGGGCATTGTTAGTCTATGGGTAGTGTTGAGTCTATGGGCAGTGTTAGTCTATGGGCATTGAAAGTCTATGGGTAGTGTTGAGTCTATGGGCATTGTTAGTCTATGGGTAGTGTTGAGTCTATGGGCAGTGTTAGTCTATGGGCAGTGTTAGTCTATGGGCATTGTTAGTCTATGGGTAGTGTTGAGTCTATGGGCAGTGTTAGTCTATGGGCATTGAAAGTCTATGGGTAGTGTTGAGTCTATGGGCATTGTTAGTCTATGGGTAGTGTTGAGTCTATGGGCATTGAAAGTCTATGGGTAGTGTTGAGTTTATGGGCAGTGTTAGTCTATGGGTAGTGTTGAGTCTATGGGCAGTGTTAGTCTATGGGTAGTGTTAGTCTATGGGTAGTCCGGATGTGTGTTGAACTTCTTTCGCACCGCACATAGCCAACCGTGCTAATCGGAGGTACCGTGTTGAGTCTATGGGCAGTGTTAGTCTATAGGGCAGTGTTAGTCTATGGGCAGTGTTAGTCTATGGGCAGTGTTAGTCTATGGGTAGTGTGGAGTCTATGGGCAGTGTTAGTCTATGGGCAGTACGGATGTATGTTGAACTTCTTTCGCACCGTACGTAGCCAACCGTGCTAACCGCAGGTGCGGATTCCTTGCATGCGTGTGATGGGACCGCCGCGTTGCACGGGCAATGCTCTGAGCTTTGTCCGTCAGTTCGAGTTGGTGGCGGTACGCGCAGTCTCGTGGCCACGCGGTCAGTCGGATGTTTTAAAAATGATATTGCGGCAAACTCGGGACGAATCTCGGCTTTTACATTTTCAGCTATTCAAGATCAATTTCAGATCCCTTTTTTCAGATTGTTAGATCAGTTTACATCAAGCAATGATGCCACGTGTCTTCGTGTGTACGTAGGTGGCATGGCCCAATACGACGTGACACCACTTTTGGCTGAAAAATAAAAAAAAATGTCCACAATGTCACATCGCTTCCATATAACATCACACTTTGTGATCAATCCGAAACAACAACAAACATTTCCTCGTCAACATCATCCCCAAATTCAAAATTATAATATTTATTTACATTGGACAAATCCGCTGAGCTACAAAGCTCTTTCCCACAGATGTCCAGGCATTTCACAGGTGCCCAAATCGCAAACGGCACCGCCCGGTGAGCGCATCCCAGTCGGTTACCCCAAACGCACAGCCCCCAACCCACCCCCTTTCCCCCTCCGCAACCCCCACCACCGCCAGCAGTTACCGGCGCTTCAGCCGCTGCGACGAGATCTGGTCGCGACCGGCACGGAGCTCCTGGACCTGGGGGTCGGCGCAGTCCCTGGCGAGCGAAGAGGCGGCGGCGGCGGCTGTGCCCGTGCTGGCGGGACCCGCGGCCCGGGGTCCGAACGAGGCCCCCACCGGTCACCCTCGCGGAGGCCTGGGGCGGGCCGGGCGAGCAGGTATCAGGTAACGCCTCTGTCGCGGCGCGCCATGGAACTTGGGTCTCCGTGCCACCGTGGGATTTTAAGTCCGGGCTTGAGTCCCTCACTTTGCTCGCTCCCAAAGTTACGGCCCTAACGACCCTCGACCCAGTTTTGTCCCCGTCTCTGAAACATCACGCGGTGGCACGGCGCGGCTGGAATGGGCCCTGGTGCTAAGAATGGCATGACGCCACCTGCCCAATTATAATGGCCTATTCGTAGCCATGGCCCACTGGCCGGAAGCAGTCTGTAGGCACCGGTGCAGTCGCACCGCCTGCACACTTATGGCTATGTCACTGCTTCCACCTCCATGCACATTGTTACCTCTTCCCCCGTGTCATTCGTGTCGTGATATGCCCTTCGGCTTGGACATTTTTTACGTTCAAATTATTATTAGTTTCTTTTCAGCAGATCCCACACGGCACTCCACCACGGGAAGGGCCCAGTACAGTCAAAGGGCGTGACGTAGAAGACACAAAAAATGAAGGGGAAAAGGAAGAGAGATGGGATAGAATGGGGAAATGAGAGGAAAATGATGGAGATGGAAGGGAAAAACTGGACCAGGTGCTCAGGCAAGATGAGGATCGGGCGCACGAGGCTGCTTGAGGGCCATCGACGCTGCTGCGCGGAGAAGCAGCAGCGTCCGGTGAGAGAGGAGGGGTTCAGAGTGGGGGCGGCCACACATTCCGCCCCTCCTGGCACAATTCGCGTCTCCGTCGTGAAGAGTGCGCTCCCTGTGTCAGTTTCAGAGTCACAAGGCTCGCGGGTTCACGTTCTGTCGAGCGTGCCAAAGCCTTCATCACTAACGGATGGGCAAGTCGCCAGGGCATTGTGTTTTGACTCTTTGATCAACACGTCCAGGATATCTGGCTCAGAGCGTCTCTCGTGTGTTTTTGGGGGGTGGTGGTGCTAATAGTCATTGGTGGTTCTGAGCCAGTGGTGGAGATTCCTCGTTCCGATGGCGGCAACCCAGATCACTCCGCTAGAGAACCGCACTTGACGATGGCAGTTCCGACGTTGGCGACACGCACGCTTGGAATTAAGTTGAGAGGCGCAGTGCGGCGCACGTGGATTGGATCAATCAATAAATCTTCATTTTACGTGCCAATATCGCCCCTCAATGCGGTAGGCATCGGTGCACATTACAGCGGAACGGAAACGCTACGGGGGGGGGGCACAGAGCAACATGAGTGAAAAAATAAACCCGTCACGACCTCAGCGGCTAACACCGACTGAGTAAAAGAAAATTGCAACCTGCAACATTCTCAAACGCCACACTCCGAGCTGGCAATCGTGTACTCTGTCTTGGGCCGGGTTTGGCTTCAGCCAGTTTTGCTCTATCCAGACCGCGACCTCAGACAAGCATTCTGATAGCGTAGAGATCGCGGCGTCTGGATCTGACGCACAAAGTGATGTAGATCTGATTATCGTCCGCATATTGATGCCACTGAAGACCACATGTCTACGTATGAGATCATCTCATGGACTGACATACACATTGCCCACTAGGTGGGGTTGGGGAGGTGGGTACTATTGAGCCCTGGGGGTAGCCCAAATGTGGCATGACTAACAGGCGAGGCACGATGCCCCGTAGCGACCTGCTGGGTTCTGTCCCGCAGGAAAGAGGCGAGCCAGATTCACGCTGAGCCGCCGATTCCAGCGTTGCTGCTGCTCGTTAAGAGTCCAACGCCACCGGCGAACTTCGTTCGGCAGCTGAACGCCGCTCGCACTCTCGCCCTGAAGCTGAAGTTAAAAAATAGAAATGCATTAAAATTTCGCACTCAAAAAATTACTCGCCGACTCAGGACGCTCTTCGTTGCCCCTGAATGTGATTACGAATCAATTTGCAGGACGTTGTAACCTCGTTAAGCCAAGTGGAGCCGGGGGTGGGGGTAGGAGGGACACGGACTGACCACGCAGCGCTGCCCTACATTTTCCCCAGTAAACTCGCCAACGTTCGGCCAACGCGATTGGTACCGTCGGACCCAAGGTTCGCCCAACGTTGGAGCAATGTTGGCATGTGGTTGGAACCGTTGGGCCAACGTTGGAGCAATGTTGGCATGTGGTTAAAACCGTTGGGCCAACGTTTGCCCAACGTTCGGCCAACGCGATTGGTACCGTCGGACCCAAGGTTCGCCCAACGTTGGAGCAACGTTGGCATGTGGTTGGAACCGTTGGACAAATGTTGACCCAACGGTCCCATGGTTGCCGGGCTGCTCACTTGCCAGGAGAAGAGGCGACGCTTCTCCTGGTACGTGAGCTTCGGATTTGACCTGCACAAGAAGAGCCCAAAGCTACCACACAACGGCGGTGGCGGCGTGCGACGAGCGAAGTTAGGGCCATAGGTGCAGCGCCTGCAACTGCTTGCATGCACCACTGCTGGGGGATAATCCTCTATCCTCGAGAGCCAACACTGCAGAGGGTGTTTTGGCCTCTCTCGGCTTCTACGTAGTGCGAGCTATAACAACCAGATGACGCAGCAAACGTTTGCCGCACAAATACGTTGGTGCTGTTACTTTGGTGGGAAACGGCCGTTCGGAGACCCCGTGTGAGGACGTTAAGATGCCGACGACAACGACGACGATTATTATTCCCCCTCCCACCCCCGGCGTTGGCTCCATCCGATCGCCTCCGCCCCGACTGTCAAGGGCTCTTGCCAAACCTCGGCGCTCCCCTCTAATCCAATCGCTCCTCCACCGCGTCCGTTATTTATTTTCGTTTCTGATCCCCATCGAGTCCTCCCACCCGTTGACCCTCTCGCACCCCGGCCCGCCTGTCCGTCCACCCTCTACCCCCCCACTGCCCCCACCGCTGCGTGATCTCAGTTTGCAGTCGGGACTCAACGTCCTGGACTCGGGCTTAGCGAGCGACACGTCGGCGTCCAGCCTGGACCGGGGCGGCCCGGCCGTCGTCCACCGGCCCAGCCGCTCCCCCGGCCCTCGTCGTCAGCCAGCGCACGTGTCTCCCCGGGTGAGGGCGCCTGCCGGAGAGAAGGGGACCCACACCTGCCCCCCCCCCTATGACTTATTAAGGACCGTGTCGTATTCACATACATTGCGGCTCTTGAAATATAATTTTTTTACCGAAATCGAAAAAAGTGGCTCTTCTTGTTGTTTTGCTTACCGACCTCTGGTTTAGACCGACACCAGAAAATGATCCCCTGTGCAGCCTTTAAACAGACTGTTGAGGCAAGTGCCGTTAGCGAGCACCTATGAAGGACGGCACGACGCACGAGGGGGTGGGTGTTACTCTAATTTATTTTCTCCCCTCCCTTTGCGTTTAGCTTCTGAACAGGCGGCCGTACTCGTACTGCGAAGGCCTGGAGCTTGTGGAGATGGACTGGCTGTGCCACGCTGACACGAACTGTCCAACGATGAAGGCCACTAAGTTGGTGGGAAAAAAGAGTGAACCGTCACCATCAAACATCCGTGAACTGTCACCGAAAATAAACCGTGAATTGTCGGTTGTAAAATAGATTAACTGTTTGGGGTAAAATCCCTTAACTTGTCAGCTACGATAATGTTGTATGGAAGAGGAGCAGCAGCATTTTACAGTTTGGCATCAAGTGTTGATATCCAGTCAATTTCTTAGGGAGACGCAGAGTTAATTGTCAGAGATGTTTCCAGTGGGGAATGAGCAACAGCGGACATTTGTGTTCACCAAACGTTCCATTGCTGTTCACAGCATTCACTCTGTTGGGTGTAATTGAGTCTGCATGTGTGCAGAAGCCACGCGTGAATGAGTGTGCATGAGTGAGTGTAGGAGGTGGGGAGCGGTAGTGTCGTGGTTAGCACGCTGCACTAGGAACCCGGCGACCAAAGTTCAATTCCAGCTCACGGCCACCACCAGTAACGATATTCTGAACAGGTCCTGGGCCTGCTCTAGGTCGACTCAGCCTCAAATGAGTAACTGGTGCGGTGTGTAAAAACATCGCCAATGAGGAGACAAAGGCGGTCGGGTGCGGTGCTGGCCACCCACCCCCTCGTGTACCGTGCCGGCCTTCTTAGGTGCTCGCTAACAGCACTTGCCCCAACAGCCTGTTAAGGCTATACGGGGGATCTTTGTATTTCTATGAAGCAGTCATATCGGCCAAGCCATGGCACCTGGGTCTGCCCTGTGACCTTCTGTCAGCGAGCCTGCCACATTGCACGTGACAGCCTCAAAGTGCACCTAGCTTGGCACAAGCACCGTGGTGACGTCACCGTGTAGCGGTCATTATGCTGCACTACAAACTTGGGGCTCGATTCCCGATCACGGCCAACACCGGTGACGATTATCTCAACCGGTCCTGGGCTCCTCCCCTAGGTCGACTCGGCCTCAAACGAGTACCTGGTGCGGTGTGTAAACATCGCCACTAGGAAGACAAAGGCGGTCGAGCGTGGTGCTGGCCATCCACCTCCTCATGTTCCGTGCCGGCCCTTCATAGGGGCTCGCTAATAGCAATTGCCCCCCACAGTCTGCTAAGGCTACACGGGGGACCTTTGTCTGTGTGTGTTGAGGACGACCGGGGTGAGTTTGGTGCGTGGAGTTCTGCGCGCGCGCGCGTCTGCCTTTGTAGATGGGTTTGTGTTGTGTGAGTCGGTGTTGGTGGGTTTGTGTTGGTGTGTGTTGTGTGAGTTGGTGTGTGTTGTGTGTGTTGGTGGGTTTGTGTTGGTGTGCGTTGTGTGAGTTGGTGTGTGTTGTGTGTGTTGTTGGATGTGTGTTGTGTGTGTTGGTGTGTGTTGTGTGTGTTGGTGGGTTTGTGTTGTGTGCGTTGTGTGTGTTGGTGGGTTTGTGTTGTGTGTTGGTGGGTTTGTGTTGTGTGAGTCGGTGTGTTTGTGTTGTGTGCGTTGTGTGTGTTGGTGGGTTTGTGTTGTGTGTTGGTGGGTTTGTGTTGTGTGAGTCGGTGTGTGTTATGTGTGTTGTTGGGTGTGTCGGTGGGTTTGTGCTGTGCGCATTCGTACTGCGTGCTGTGCATATCTGCGCCGCGTGTGTTTCTTGGCTGTCTGGCCGTCTTTGTGCCGGTGCGGCGGCATTGTTGTTGAGACATTCGGTGAGCCCCCGGCGCATTTCGTATATTGACTAAAGTATTTTCTGTCTCCTACCTCAGCATTTGTTGTTGGGGTGTTGTTGTTGATTGTTCGTATTAAACGCGACAGCCTCGCAAAAGAAAAAAAAATGCGTGTGCCCCTTTGTAATTTGTGTCGATGATCTGTGCCGATGGACGCGGTCGCCTCTCGTGCGATGTTTAAAGCGAGACGCTGCTCTCGAGTGCGACACACGCGATCTCCCCCGCTGGCATTGTGGCTGCGATACAACCACGACATTCGTTGTCCCACTCGGTATGTTCCGAACGCCATTCTCTGTCCTCCGCACGCGAAACATGTTCGGTTAGAGGCCAATGTAATACGTCGCTCAATGATTTACTTAGCCGACGTACTTCGAGGATAAATATTTCCGGGGGCGAAAATGTGTTGACGATAAATGTCACGTAGAAGGGAAATAATAAAATAATGAAAGTAAAACATAATACATATTCTCACGACGTTTCGGCCACAATGCAAGCAGCCATCCTCAAGTGAAGAACAGAGGTGTCGGAAAGACAGCGTCTTCATTAGGACGCTGTCGTTAACATTTTTATTATGTTTATTTTTATTACTTTAATATTTCCCTTCTACGTGACTTTACCGAAAGAACCAAGATGATAACTGTCCGTTTGCCCTTGAAGGTATTAGCACTGTGCGCGTAAAACACCGCAAAGGAATTAACTCTTGATTCAAATATTAATTTAGCCAATTTGTGAACCAGAAACAGAACCATTACAGAAATGTCCAATTACCTCCGAAGTGTATATGCGCGTATTATATAAGCCGAGGGGATGCTGATGGCAACTTAGCGCAACACACACGTGCACACGGAGGGCATGGGATGCAAGGAGACTTATAAATAGTGACGCTTATTCTGTTACAGTGCAAAGACGGCTCAGAAGACGCAGCCCATGATCTTGCCTCCTGCGTGTCTGCGGCGTCACGGTGGCTAGGAGATGTTAACTACCTCGCCTGGTATGCAGGAGGTCGTGGGTTCAATTCTGATCCCGATCCCTGACGCCTGTATATTTGTGAGTGTGCATGTCTCTCTCCTCGTGGTCGCGTGGATTTTCCTCCAGGTCCTGTTTTTCCCTCCACATTTATAATCAACATCACGCGTTTGGAGTATTTGGCTGCTATACATGTCCACGTGATAAGCCAATTCGTTGAGCTGTCATGTGGCCAGGTGGCTTCTGATAAAGAGCTGCATATCCTCAGTGGGCCTTGCCAAGAAAAAAAAAATAGTGAGTAGTTTAGTTTGTGCCTCGCCTGCTCATGGTCCATGATGCCAGCAGACGTGGTCAGCACAATGTAGCTTTCGGAGAGAGCGAGAGAGGCGATACAGCTGGTCAGTCGGGAATAAAAGCCGAGGGTAGCAAGGACCCTGAAGGGCAAAACAAATGTCAATATAAACGATGACTACGAACAATTTTGCCAAAAACCAAATAACCCAGAATACACCTGAGCTTTTGCATCGGAAGCTAAGCAGGTTTGAGCCTGGATAGTGCCTGGATGGGTAACCGCCACGCATAAGTGAACTAATTATTTGGTGGCGCTGCTGCTGCGTTGGCAGTGGTGCACAATCATCAACACGTTCGTCAGCAGCACTGTGCGGCCTGAAAAGAAGCAACAGATGTACATTCAGCGACGTTTTAGGCAATGGTCCTCCATTAGAGGTAGGGTGAAGAATGCCCGAAACGTCGCCGATTATTTGTATTTTCGTTTGAAGGCCACACACAGGGTTATTGAAACGGAACGTGTTGATGTGTTTGTGTGGTCGACTGCTTTACAGGCGTTGTGGGAAACAGAAGGCAAGAGCAGCAACATTCATCAGAATATTTATGTTGTGCGAATCCGAGGAGCTATTTAATTATTTTCACACAGGTGTCCAAGTAAGGGGCAGGTCAGAACGTTCCAACAATTTTCAAAACAAAAACACGATGAGAGTGCAACGTATATGAACGGTAAAAAATGACGTTTATAAAATATACAAATAAAAACTAAACTGTTTATCTCGTTAGGTAATGCCCACTGGAGCGAGCAGCTTCTTTGTCAGAAGCGACCTGCCCACAAGTGACAGCTCACCACGCCGCAATGACCGACGCCGGTAATGGTTGTGACAAATTCACCGCCCACCATGGGCACGGCGTGGGGCGGGGGGGGCGGAGGCCCTCGGTCAAAGGTCGGGCCGTGCTGCCGTGGCTTGGTGGTGCCACCGCAAGCATGAGAGAGGGGGGGCATCTGAACGAGACGTCCGCCCGGGCCGCGCCTGCCACCGCGTGGCCAAGGAGCCCCGACGCAGGGACTTTGCGTGCTGGCCGCAGGAATTGCGCGGTGCGAGTGGGTTGGAGGTTTTTTGTTTGTAATCGAGCGGTGGTGGTGGTCTCAGGATATGGTTCGGGTTGTTTTCGGGGGATGAGCGTGCAGTGCAGCTTGCCCGTAGCTCGTTTTGTAAACCGCCCGAGGGGTCACGTTCAACACGAACCACGCGGTTCTCGTCTGCAATCGCCGACTGGTCGAGAGATCATCTCCAGTGCCCCTTTGATCGCGGGCTTCGCCATGCACTGGCACGAGAGGCTTCGCGGTGGAAGACATCAAGGACGGCGATGACGCGTCCGCAGAACCGGCCCTAGACCTTTGGGGGCCCAAAGCAAAATTTGGTTGGAGGCCCCTTTGATGTATGATTTTTTTCACCCACTCGCTAGCAGTGACTCTAGGGGGCCCTCTGCTGGCCACGGGGCCCTTTGCAATTGCAAGGGTCGCTTAGTGGCTGGGCCGGCTCTGCGCGTCCGTGTCCTCTCGTCACGAGACATCAACTGCACATCACCCGTTCAGTGTTGTCGTCCTTCCCCCGGCACGGCAGATCAGCACGGTTGGCTACGGTGCGAAAGAAGTTCAACATGATGCACATTCACGACGCGCAACTTAAAGCGTGCCAGGCCACGCGCCGTGACGGTTGTACCATACTCCTGTACTGCCACGTGTCACCATGCTGGGCACGGGGCGGATTGGTGACGTGGACATCACAGAACCGGTTCATTTATCGCCCGTCACTGATGTTTAGCCGTGGCCAGGTATCGAACTCGTGTCACCCGGTTCATTGGGTAATGCACTCTAATCCCTACACCATTCTATCACTGCGCACATCACAGATCCACTTTCTTTCGTATGGCGAGGCGAAATTGTTAACGGCAGCGAGGTTTCCAAGCCACTTGATTTCCACAGTGGATGCCGGTGATGTTTGTATGTTTTTAGAAAGTGATTTACCATTCCTACACATCGCACTCCGATGTTTTGTTGTAACGTTCCGACGACGTGCCCATACTGCACGTGTGAAAGAGCTTTATAGCTCATCGGATTCCTCTAGTATAAAGATTCCGATTCTGTTGTCTGCAAATCGGCGGTGCGGGCAGTGCTGGATCACGCGATCCACGCTGTGAATCGGTGCAGACGACAGCGTGGAATAACGTGATCCCATGGGCCTGGCTCGGGGTGACTGCAGCCAGTCGCATTGCAGACGATGACCGCATCTGACATGCCACGAGGGATTGTTGACCATGTCCCAGCAGTAAGAGGGACCAGCGATTTAAGAGGCGCCAGTTTTTTGGGGGGGAACATTTGAGAGCTACTTGTGGACAGACAGCTCCAGGTTGTCCACGATGGGCTGGGCCATGCGGCAGGTGTGGGGCGTCTTCGGATCTCTGGCGGGTCGATACGGGGCCAGTGTGGACAACCATTCCACGGTGGGGGTCGCTATACGTGGTGCGCATTGCAGAGTTGAATTGTGGGTTCTGTAACGTGAATATCAACGTTAAAGATACCCCCGCTCCACCCGTGTGATGCTTTAACACAGTTGGAGGACGTGGCCAGCATCACACCAGGTACCCATTTAAGGCCGAGTCGATCTTAGGAAACGAGCAGGACTGCTCTGGATAATGGTCACCGATTTGGGACGCGAGAAAGAATATAATCTCGACTCCGTACACCGGGTTCGTCGCTCAGTGCACCAACCACCGTGCCACCACTCCCCACACCGCACGCCAACGCAGAGACACGCGCACAAAGAGAACGCCACTTGCACAGGCTGTCCCGAGCAGCAGACATTTTATTACCAGTTATTATGCATCATCAAGGTTTCAGTAATCTCCATACATTTGTGAAAGCAGATACAGTATTACAATCACATTCTATCAAAGGAAGGACAATTTGTATTTCAAGAAATTAAAAACACAAATAATATAACAATAAAAGAAAAGCCACCAAAAATCATAAATGCCGTTTCTTAGGTCACAGACAGCACTTGCGATTGCAAAGTTTCCCCGTGTCCCCCCCTCCTCCTCGTCGTCGTCGCCGGCGCTCCTGCTGCTGCTCACTCGACACGCGCACCCTGACCACGTGGTAACTACACGACGCTGCAGCCCCCCCCCCCCTTCCGCCGACATCTCTTGCGCGAATGTTTGCACAGATTTTCTTTCTTTTTTTTAAATAGCTCCTCACACATTGTCCGCGGTACAGGGCGACGTACAGCTCAGTAACAACTCTGTCTATATATATTTTTTTGCTTTGTGTTTTTATTGGATTTTTTTTTAGGTTTTTTAAGATTATATAAACTTCCTCTCTGGATGGCGTAAACCTGATGACATGTTGATCTTGCTTTTGTAGCTTGAACAACGAGTAAAAGTGACTGTAAGCGTTTTTTTTTCCTGTTGTCACAATGGCCCCAACATTTTGCTTGTATTTTCAGCATTTATTTATCTACTCTCCTTTTTAACAGCAAAGCACTTATTTTTGACGCATTTGTATTTCGTTTGCATATAAGACATTCTTTAAAATAACGAAGGTACTTTCACACACAGGACCCAAAAAACAAACAAAAAAACTAGGAGGAAAAAAAAAACATTTTGCGATTGCATATCCTCGTGTTTATTTGTTATCAAGGACAGCGAAAAATGCTACTGAAGAACCCTTTTGGTTTATAAAGCAAAGCGTGGCCCGCTGCTGGGCGGAGTGCCGTTTCGTAGGACAACTTCGCCAACAACAAAAACAATAAAAACAGCTGTAACGAAATCAAGTTTGTTTCAGTGTCGAGCAAACTGCAGCACAACATCGCAGACAGTGTGCAAGTAAATTTTTTACTCCTCCAATGCCCCAAGGAGCGACCTTTGCCGTGGTACCGACTACCAGCTCCCGACACCCCCCCCTCCTTGCTACAAAGTACTTACCATATTCATTGTAATAGATATGCTCATATTTGTTGTATTAAAACATTTAACTCCTTCTTTAACTTGATTTTTTTTTACTTTTTTTTTGGCAGAGCCAAGTTTTACAATCAGCGGTCTGTGTTAGCATTGCATGCACCTTGTTTCTTAACACTGCCCCGTAATAAAAACGTCACTGGCTGAGCGGGGGAGGGCACCGGCTTGTGAGAGTGGGGGGGGCGGTGTGGAAGGATGTGCCCCCTCTCTGCAAGCAGCTCCCAGAGCCTCTTGCCTCCCCCCCTTAACATGACGGGAGCGCGAGTGTGTTGGCCGCCCTTTGGCCTACACCACCACCCCCCTCACATCTCCTCTCACAGCTGCTGCACACAAAACGGCTTTCCTACAAAGGATGGGAAAAATTAAAATAATTAAAAAATAAACGATGCGCAAATTCGTCCGTGAAATCTGCAGTCCTCTTTTAACCTTTCCTTAAATACTGGCGGTCTGCTTTCTCCCCCCCCCCCCCCCCCATTTGAAAACAAATATGCAAATTATAATAAGTACATCGTAATGTGTCACTAAATACTTTGAATATAAAAAACGACTTGAGTGCACCTTGACAGTATAAGTTTCTCGTGCCGCCGCCGTCGCCACGCACCCTGAATTCGAGAAGAGGGGGGAGGGTGCTCACAACCTGTGCTTGTGGCATCTTCTATTGCAATAAATATGGTAATCATACGGCATTGTTCCGAATCGCAAACACAGAACCACAGCAACAACAACAAAAAAACATCCAATCTCTTTTTTAAAATAAAAATGTGTCTCTGTTAAACAAACACAAGTGTAAAAGTGTAAACACTCAAAAGAGAGAAAAAAAACATAAAAGCACAAGTGAGCCTCCACAAGCTGACAAATGTTTGTCAGGCAGCTGGGGGGAGAGGGAGGGAGGGAGAGCGTTCTGGGTGTTGACACGAAAGCACACAAACTATACACTTCATTTTCAGTAGTCTGGAGTTATACCGAGTGTGCGATTAACGTGAAAAGAGAAGAGCGACCCTTGAAATAACACATTTTCAAGCAGTTACACCCCCAAGTGACCTGTTGATAAAACGAAGGTAAAAAGGTATTGGGCAAGCCACTTATTTGTTATCTCTCCTCTTACACACACACACGACATACACAAAGACCACGCCAAGCTGCGTCCCGCTAAGACCTAAAAGTAATCTTTATATATTTTTTTTCTTTTTCCCGGTACAGGATTAACACAAAAGTGAGCTGTCTCTCCACAGTTCAGTAATGCATAGTTATTTATTTTTCGTCAATTATAATTGTCATTTGCTTAGAAACCAGCATCAATACTATATAGGCAACTGGACAAAAAACCACGGCCACCCCCCCCTCCCTTACAAGTCATCAAGACACCCGCATTCGCAAGCCTGGTCGCAGCAGAAACACAAACATGTTTTTTTTTTACAAATAAAAACGCCGTTTTATTCTTTACAATTCACCGTTAACTTTTCGACACTAACTCCGTGTAATTCTCCATCACCCACCGTCGCCTTTCGGGTTCGTGTGAAATCGTAAATAAATCAATAAACGCATTATAATTTTTTTTCCTTGTTAAATCGGTCGCGACCGCAAGCAATAAGGTAGTACATGTACGGGCCGGCGGCGTGCATGTGGTGACACCCCCCCCCGCCACCAGAATTCGTAAGGAGCGAGCGAGCAGGCGGTGCCGGGCTCGGCACTCCACTCCCGTGTTGGTACAAGACACAAGGTGGCGGCACAGTGAAAGCACAGCGACCCCGACACCATCCCACCCACCACTTCGCCACCAAAATCGACACCCACCCCCCACCCCCCCGTTTGGCAGCAGTTGATCGCCGACGATTCTATTAATTACACACGAGTTCCCATATATGTTATATCATTGTACTTCCTCTTTTTTACCCAGTCTGCTACCGAATACTTAACAGTACGATACTGTGTAAAATGCTAGCAGTAAAGGAGTCGAGACACCGGACAAGACAAGTGATGAATTAAGATTTTTTTTCAAAGTTTTTTTTTACATATTTGTGGAGGGAAAGAGGGGGAAAGGGGTTGACCATCTCGCTCCCCTCAAACAAAAGTTGAACTCGCACAAAACTACGAATATGTACACAGGAGCACTTGGCCTCACAATGTTGCTATCTACACCACGACGAAATTTTTTAATGATTTTTTTTAATTAAATCGTGTTTTGTTATAAATACGATCCGAACCATTTAAAAAAAACAGAAAACGCCAAACTCCCGCAAGAATGCCATCGGTGGTTGTGTCTGTATACGACGTTGACAGCTGTACTAATGATCTTCCTAACCGCTCTACTCCGACACGAATCACCTTTACAAACAATTTGCATTCCTCAAACTACCTGAAAGGTCCCAACGAAGCACTCCCGCGCGACCCCCCCCTCCACACTCCCTCTAAATAGCAAAAAACTCAACGCATTTGGATGAAGGTAAAAGATACGCAATATTGTGCAGCACACTGGAAATATAACAGCACTTTCTGCTCAAAACACTACACTGGTTCCGCTAAGGACCCTTAAAGAGTGTACACAATGTGATTATTTTTTTTTTATCAGCTTGCTTAGGTTTCCTGAGATCCGTGCTTAAATTTTTTTTGTCTTCACCTTTTTCCTTATCGTGACAATGAAAGAAAGAACAAAATGAAAAATAAAACGACCACTGGGTTTTTTTTTCTATTAAGTAACTCCCAGAGCTTTTTTTTAAGTTTTATTATAAATAGCGCTGTCTTCATTCGATGTCTACACAGATGGAAGAGTAAACTTTAAATGTTTTAAATATTTTTTGTATTTTAATTATTTACTTTTTTTGTTTATGTTCTCCTGAAAGGTTGTAAACAGAGGGGTTTTGGCCTAACCCCGGCACCTTTTAAGTCATCGTATAATCACTTTAATTTTTTTTTTCCCGCTCTTACAGAATTTTTGTTACTTCTGTACACGTCTTACGTTTAAGTAACATCCACTACATAATACAGTATGTCAATGATCCTTGGCTGATCACATTTTATGCATGTAACAATGTTAAGCAAGGCAGCTATCTAAGAGCTAATGGAGCTAAAAAACGCCACGCATCATGGGTCCATGCTACAGGCTTAGTGTCTACCCATAATCCACTCGCCTCTAACTCCTACCCTTGTGCACATCTCAACACAGAACCAAACGAAAAACATTAGTTTCACTCTAACTTTTTTTGTGTTTTTGTACATTTTTTTAAATGTAAATAACGTAGATAAAACTTTAGTTTTATTAATATTCTTATTTTTTGTGCTGTTGATTATTTTCCGACATCAAGCCGTGGTTCACAACGCAGCTTCACGGCGTCGCCACAGCCGCCCCCTTGACCCCTGACCCCCTGCCCTCACCCACTACGCGGACTCGCGCCGGGGTCGCGACCCACACGGACACCGAAGCACTTGGGAAAGCGTTACACAGCGGACGGCAAAATAAAAACACTCAATTATGGGTCCTCTTTGTTGTGCGACTTCACGTACATGCGATATATATTTTTGTACAGAGGAAAAAAAAGTTTTTTTGGCCTTATGTACCGCTTCTTGTTTCTTAAAACGAACTCCCCAAAATATACCGTAGCCCCCCTCCCCCCCCCACGTGACGTCGTGTTTATTCTCAAAAAAGAAAGTGCAAACCATACTCCTCTTCCCACCTCCTTCCTCAGGGAACAATGCGCGGTTTTTCTCTCGTCTACACTACAAGTTTCAGTACATTGCTTGCGATATTTAGAAGAAAATAAAACGTAACATAATTGCTTTTGTGCAGTTTTAGCAAGAGAGAAAAAAACTAAGTAAAAACTCAATGAAGTTGAGCGTACACCATTCATCATTGACTACATGTGCAAGTTTTCCACCTCTCCCCCAAAATCAGTGCTCACATTAACTCGCTAAAACGCCACACCAAGTTGCACCTCCAACACCAGTCTCCACCTCCTCCTCCTCCTGTGAGGGCTGCGAGCATCACACTCTGGCTTTTAAGTTTTGAATATCCTGGTACTGAAACGCAAGTGGTTTGATAAACCAAGAAACACCAGAGGAGCCGGCACTGTGAAACTATTTACGTTTGTGTGCCTCACTCACACCACACTATTGTAAAAACTGTACCCCCCCTCCCAAACGCTCAGTACTGTTGTGGCTTTGAAATTTCTAAGGCCATTATTATTATCGCGGTAAAACAAAGCAACGTAAAAAACACAAAATTACCAATGGGATTGTTTCAATATGCTACCGCCTCCGTTGTCATGTCGGCGGTGGCTGCTAAGACACAGCAGCACAATGGTTGCATAAACGTCACGAAAAGCATCTTCCCCCCCCCACCCTTACAACCCATTCCCCTCCCCCCAAACCCCCGATTTTCCCTCCCTCGCAAGGCGGAGAGGCAGCATTAATAAAAACAAAAATGATTCTCCGAAATAACGACACAAGAGATACCGTGGTGGCACTTGTCAGCGAGACGGAAGGAACGCGCACGCGCGCTCGTCACAGGACCAAAAAGTGCATTGCGTTACGAAGTGCCAATCCGGAGCGCCCAAAATCGAGGGCCCAGGGTCGTGCCAAGGCGGGACCGCCTCCGCCTGCCAGGCCTGAACGCACAGCAAGCACCAGTTGTGTGGGGATGCTGTCAAAGGCAGAGAGAGGTCCAAGCCGCGATGATAATGGGAATGGGAGAAAACGAACGACAATTGCATTTGTGCACGAAGGTACGCGAGCGAGCATCGATAGCATCTCTGGAGGTGAACCCTTTGCTGCTGGTGGGATGTGTTCAGACGGGGGGGGGGGGGGGGGGGGGGGGGAGATCAGCGGTGCACGCGCCAAGCGGACTATTGCTGAGAGATGCCATAGAGATGCCATGACCCTGTGCCTCTCTGCCCCTCGTATGAAAATGCATCGGTTGAACAGTGAGGTCACGGGTGAGTTTATAAGATAAAGGCCTCGCCCTCAACAGTTAAACATAAAAAAAACCCTCAGGAATCTTAAGCATCGTGTTTTTTGTTTCTCTACAACCTCCACTCACGTAAATTGGTTGGCGATTAGCCAATCGTGATTAAAACAACCCTTTTTTACATCACGAGATTATGCCGATATCGTCTCGCTCAACGATCCAAGTAAACAAGCTGCCCACATTGTTAATGGAAGTGCTGTTTTTTTTTTCCCCCTACTGCATCTTACGTCCACTTAAACAGTGAAAAGCTTCATCGCCCTCCTCCGCCAGTGTCACCCGCAACGTAGTTTTGATTGTATGTTCTCCTCTGAAGTTTAGTAAAGCCTTTGGAAATATAAAGTTTTCGACAAAGAGTCCGTCACAGCGATTTAGCGTCAGTCACAGCGATTTAGCGTCACTTTATGGCAAACCGAAAAAGGCAATAAAAGGAGCAACGCCCTGACACGACGGTGATTTGTACGACTGGAACGTCGGCCCCACAGCCGCACTATCGCAGGCTTTGGGAATAAAACGCATCACAGCTACCCACCGCTTTCACCACACGACGACGCCACGTGTATTTTTTTTTTCATTTTTTTCATTTTTTAAATATTTTTTTGTACGGTTTTTGTTATTTTTTCTGTTTAAGATTTTTTTTCAGTTTTATTTTGTAACATACTAGACTATAATGTATACTTCCCCCCCCCCCCCCCCCCCATACGCAACTAGAAAAAACAAAACAAAAGATGGTGCAACACTGCACGTCACGGCGTTTAAGATGACCGACAATAATACAAGTCCATCGAAAAGCGCGAGAGAGGGGGGGGCGCGCGCGCAATGCTTCTATCGTGCGCCTGTCTCGGCAATTATTTGCAACTATTTCGCAGGGCACACATTGCGTCGAAAATAAACAACGATAATAACGACAGTAATAATAATAATGCTCGTAATAAGTACATCCTTGAGTAAACATGGACACGTGAACTGTGGACACAGCAGAGGTGCCCGGACCACTACCTACCCCTCCCCTTCCCCAAGAAACTCCTCCCCCCCCCCCTGGTATTGCCTTTCTTAAAGGGACACCGGGAATCCATTATAGTGGAGGTGCTACCGACAAAATCAGTGCAAAGAGAGAAGCCTCACCATTCAACACGGACCAGCAAGTACACACAAAAAATATATCTATAGACGCCACCTTCAGACGTGTAGATAACACTACAGTCCCACATTACATGTAACACCAACGTAGAGAATGAAATGTATTGTGTATGTATGTATATTCATACATATATATACTTTTATTTTAGCATATTTAACTTTCAATTATTTAGTTTTCATATATAGAATAATCTTTTCAATTTATATCTACCCCACTTCCTCTGAAGTGCGATGACACTAACCAAATTCCAATTCACATTTTTTTCCCATCTCACTGTTGTTGGCTTGTACGATTCAAGTATTTGAATTGATATGTTTTTTGGGTTAATAACGTACAGTTTTGTCCCCCTGACCCTCAAAATCTAAAAACATGCACAAACACCATAACACCTTCCTGTACATGACACTTTTTGCCACAGGCAGGACGCTGAGAAGAACGACACGATGCAAAAACGAAGAGTAAAAAGAATAAACGAAACATGCATCCACAATTAGTGCTGATGAGGTTAGAGGTGGCGATGCGATCACATGGATTCGTTGCCGAGAAGGTCGTTGGGCAGCAGTGGGGACGGGCTGGCGATGCCGCGCCCCTCCTCACCCCCGGCCGTGCCCCACAGCCCCCCGCTCGGGTACTGGGGGAGTCCCCACAGGGAGCTCGCTTCACCCGGCTGGCTCGCCCAGTGGCCTAACTCCGACGAGCCGCCCCCGCCGCCACCTCCGGCGGCGGCGGCGGACGACCCGCCTGGGGCGCCCGACGACCCAGAGGATACGACGGAAGTGCCCGTCCCGGAGGTGGAGCCGGGCGCAGATCCTCGAGGGAAGCCATGCGGCCCCGAGCCCACACCTGAGCGAGGCTGCTGCCAGGAGGAGACGGGGGATGCCGACGCTTGGCCCTGCGCAAAATAGCGGCTTATCTCCTCCTCACTGGCGAACTCCGCCACAATGGTGGTGTTTCCCAGCACGCACCTGCGAAGGACAACGCGGCCGTGAGCGCGAGTCGTGACACACAGCGCATCGATGGCAACGTTAGTTCATCACCGTCACAATCGTAATAGCCTGCAATTCGCTGCTATAATAACGATGAGCCTCATGAATCATAATTTGCACTCTTCATTTTAAAAAGTGCAATGTGTCAAACATTCAAATGACAAGCCACTTCAAGGCGACAGATCTCCTCACTGGCACTGGCCAGCACAAAGCACAGCTATACACACAACAAGCAAGGACACTCATTAGAAGGAGTGGCCTGCAAGGACACTCATTCCAAGGCCTGCAAAGGCACACACCCACACACGCCCTGCCCTCCACACACGCAGTCTCAACCCTGCACATGTTACACAAAGAAGCCCTGTACAGCCGTAACAGACTGTAGAGGCAAGTGCTGTTAGCGAGAACCTACGAAGGCCGGAACGACACAGGAGGTGGGGGTAGCAAGCACCACCCACGACCATCTTTGTCTTCAAGTGTCAATGCTTACACACCACACCAGGTATTAATTTGAGGCTGCGTCGACCTAGGGTAGGTCTAAGACCGGTTCAGCAAATCGTCACTGGTGTTGGCAGTGAGCTAGAATCGAACTCAGGACCCCGGTTTCGTAGAGCAGAGGCGCTAACCGCCAGACTTCCGCTCCCCACATGTGACCCTGCACTCGCACACCCAGATTCTCTGCAATGCACCCCTCGTGCATTCACTCACATGTGCAGGGATTTCTGAGCCTTGCCCGCCTCCTCCAGCGAGCTGTACTTGACGAGCGCGTTTCCGTGCGGCAGGTTCAGATGGAAGGTGGTGAGGGGGCCGTGCTGCATGCACAGAGTCCTCAGAGTCGACCCATCGATCTGCAGACGCGCAAGCATAGCGGGCACACGAGTGGGTCGGTGGGCAGGCATGTCCGGACCCACGCGTAACACTTCTGCTTTGCAGCATAAAAGATCTGGGATGGATTCTAAACTCAATCCATTGCCCTCCTGAAAGGAGGTCCTGACACTAAGTACAGTTTTAATTTAATTGAAAATGTACAATTCACAACGTTTTGCCTATCCACTGCTGTGATAACACTTGCGCTTCTAGAGCAAGAAGGTCCTTGGGGGTTCGATTCCTGACTCGGGCACCTATGTGGAGTTTTGAATGTTCTTCCCATGCTCCGCAGGGGTTTCCTCCGAGTTCTTCGGTTTCTTCCCATAGCTAATAACATTTCGTGTTTGCCAAACATACCAATGCAGTACCCTCCTGAAAACTAGACTCAAATGTGGCTAATTATTAAGTGTGGAAATAAATTGTTTTTATCTATAAGCTTGAGATTAATTACGTTCATTTTAGAATCGTAAAATCGATGATAAAAAAAACTCAACTTATGTAATTCTTTAATACAGCACACGTAAGTCTCGGGGCAAGGGCTGCACAAATAACCACGTGTTGAGACGGTGGCTTGCCGAGTATAAACTGTGGAGTGAGTGCCCTCCATTGGCCAATGTTGCTGCACTCCATTCTCAGAGCAAGGACAGCCAACCAGTTTTTAAAATGCGCTATGTATATTAAGGGTGGGAGAGGGGGTTATTTTCCATATCCACAAGAGCCGTCCGCCGCATGCAATCACACGGACATGTGGATGCACCCATCTAAATAAAGGAACCGCTATTTGCACACTACATGGCGGTGAAGTGTTAAAAGGATCGCTGGCAGGTCACGGTACACACCTGTCGGACACAACGCACGCACAAACTGCGTGGCTCCGCAGTCACGGCGTCAACCACCGAACCTTGCCATGCCCTGCTAAGACAGCCCACGCCCCCAACCCCGCCACCACAACCTCACCATGTGCACGGTTGTGTCAAGCTGCTGCCCCCCGACCCTACCTGTGGGGTAAGGTTGCGCAGGACCAGCCAGGTGCTCGCTCGACCAGAGCTACTGCTTTCTGCAGCCCAGCCAGGCCCTGCCGCCAACAGCCAAAAGAAAACAAATTAATGAGTTGCATGACCACAAACAGAATAACTAAATAACACATCGCTCAAAGAAATAAAAGCTTCCGCAATATTTTGGGAGAACACATGATGTCCGTGTTGGAGAGGGGAGGGGTGACTTTATTGCTGTCTTGGATGCATTATGTGTCTGAAATCACTTCACATGCTAACATGTTAGGTATAAACATCCTTAAGATTCATTGCTATGAAACTTGTCACACTGTTAGAAACAGTAATGTACTATACTTATTGTTTCTGCACCAGCCTTGATATGAAGAATTATTTTAATGTACCGTTATGACACGTAGCAATGCAATTAACATGCTGGAATGTGTACACGTGGATGAATGCATGTGTAGCGACAGAATCGATCACTTAGCAGCATAGCGCTTGTTGCTGACAGGGAAGGGGATCTGTAGTTACAGGCACGTGGGGGAAGCCCAGCAACCCACTAGTAGGTTCTAGAAAGGGGGCGTGGCTGGGGCGGAGCGAGGCCACGCTGGGAGCATAAAAGGGGGCCCCGAACAAGAACTCGGGGCTGTGGTTTGGAGTGGGATCCTGTCGTGCTGCTGGAGTCTTTGTCACCGTCTCCGTCTTCACCATCTCGGCGTCGTCAGTCAGGCAGTCTGCCAGCTGTCCTGACTGGGAGCTTTAGTTACTAAGTGTGAGCTGTTAAGGCTATTAATAAACAGAGTGCCTCCTACTCTTAGTGTTTCCGAGTCAGTCACTACACATGCATTCCAACACGTGCCTATCTGCTTGTGCGTACTTGTTTACAAATGCATATTCCTTGTACAGTCGAAGCACCTCACAAAAAAACGTAAGCTTCCTTCACGGACCGCCTTGCGAGCTTGTTCTGCTTAGGTAAAGGCAGATTATAGCGACTTCTGGGTAAAGTGGCACTGATAATTGTTTTTTTACCCTTTTATCTGGCAACAAAACTGACACCTCTTTTACAAGGAGTCATGTTTGCATGCCTGCAGTCGGAATGCAAACAAAAAACACAACTCTGATAATGTATGCACTGTCCTTGTAAAAAAGGTGTCAGTTTTGTTTCCAGAGAGAAGGGTAAAAAAATAATTATCATATTTTGCTACTGGAAAATGAGGATCCAATGGTACAGTGGAGCACTATACTCTTAGTTCTTTCGGTAAAGTCATGTAGGTAAAAAATGAAATTCAAATTAATAAAAATTAAAATCATTTATTTTTTATTTTTATTAATTTTAATTTCATTTTTTACCTACGTGACTTTACCGAAAGAACTAATAGTATGAATCCTTGCAGTCACGAAAGCTTCAAATCTAAAACAGTGGAGCACTGTCAGGGGGGCAGGGCAAGAGCTCACCGGCTAGGCCAAGGGATCCGCCCGTGCCCCACGGAGAGGGGTTCTTGGGGTTGGGGAGGCCCGGGGGGGGCCGTGAGGGAGCCGTCGAGTTCTTGGTGGGGAGCGGCACCTTCCAGAGCTCGTGCGTGAGCGTGGTGGGGGTGTGGGTGCTGCTGACGGGCCACGAGCTGCCCTTCAGCTCGCCACCGGGTTTGGCTGCGGAGGGTGACAAGAGCGTCAGCGCTGTTCAAAATAAACGCACGACCGGTCAAACGCATGCCTGTGTCGAGGGGGGTGACGGCGGCGGTGGCGGCAACGGTGCCAAGGATAGAGCTCGCTTGGATTGCCGTCCCACAACCGTTTCCCCAATGACCTCCCCCCACCCCGTCACCCGTCACTTGGACTGTTCCCTTTCACCGCCTGGCAGTCTTTCAGAGTTTATAATCTACATCCTGCCCCATTCGCTAGAGTGGTACAGCCCATCACTTCCTGTTAACACCACCCATATGTGAAAACAATAAGAGCTCATTAAAATTTCTCTAAACCAAACAACACGATTAATGTTTGCCTTTAAAAGCACCTAGAAACGTGCCACCAGATGTTACCATTTAATATAAACAGAAGCAACCAAGCAGGGACACTTAAGTGAGAAAACTAACAGGGTAGCTGCCGGGTGAAGAGAGCTCCCTTAAAGTATTAAAACCCATAAAAATTACATCGATTCAAATAAAAGTCTATGCTAACAATGCACGCATAGAATAACAAATCAACTATTTCCAGTATATATGTAATTTAAATGCATGTTAACCATTAGGCCTCAAAAAAGAAGATGGCAAAGACAAAAAAGTCCATTCTAAAACCGAATTGCAATTGCTGATCGAATTGCATGGAGAGGAATGGTGGATTGCCACTCGTCCAAATAAAAACGTCCTGTGCGTCGGCCTCAACCAAGCGCACGCACGGACGCCACACGGCAGGAAGGAAGGACCGGGGGGGGGGGGGGGGGGGGGAGCGGGAACTTACCGGAGGAGTTAAGTGCAGGTGTCGGGCTGCTATAACCATAACTGGTGTTGGAGGCACTGTAGGACCAGGCACTAGAGGAAGGCAGCGCGGTGTTCAGAGAGGGCGAGGGACCTAAGAAGAGGAGCCAGCACGGTGAGAAGATTATAACCACACCCAGCGGAGAAGCGAAGCAACAGTTGCAGCAACTCGGGCCTGACACAGCCACCGAGGCACCGAGTGAACCACCGAGAAAGCCAACATACAAGGAAGCGAGCAAGTCACCAAGAGCCACCAGCAAGGGGCCAGACAACAATTTACAAAGCGCTTCGACAAGACAGTCACCACCCACAGCCAGCCCAATGAGCCACCAGGAGCCAGCTAGTACCTACAAAAGAAAACCCACCAGTGTGCCAAGTCAGCCAGCCAATGAGTTGGCCAGTCCAGGGCAGAGTCACCACATGAACCAGAAAGTAAGTCGCCATGTGAATCAGCCAGTCAGCCGCTGTCTCACTGATGGAGACCTCTACCTCATAGACCGCATGCTCTAACAGGGCCCTATTCTCAGCACGCAGCGGTGGGAGTGGCTGCACCACTTGCGGTGCCCGGAGGACAGTGCCACAGATGCGAGTTAGACCCATAACCGCCATAACTGGAAGCCCTCAAAGAGTACCGATTTCAGGTTGAGCCGACCTAAAGGGAGCGCTCGGTTAGTCAAGGTGCCAAGTGAAGAGGTTGAAACGCTGATGGAAGTGTGGTGGCGGCAGCCATGCCACCACCTCGCACCCCCCCCCCACACAGATCCTCTTTATTGCTGGCTTCCGACAGATCACGCAGTCATACGAGACGTGAACAGAAAAAGGAAGTCCTACCGGGGTTTCTGTCTCGCAGCATAAAGCGATCCACATCCCGCATCGAGGTGCTGACGGTGAGGCCAGACCCGATGACGCTCCCTGGGGTGATGTCTGGGTCGTTGTCCGGATCGATGTTCTGCAGGCCCTTCCACGGCTCCCCTGGACGGAACTCTGCCATGGACAGCAACGGAGAACACCAGAGAGACTATCAACTTCACAGATCTTTTAGCTCTTGAAAGATGGGTAAAAAAAATGCACGCTTCCCAAGAATATTCTAAAGTTCCTTTATAACAACAATGCCCTATACCCAGGGGCTGTAGGCAGCAGAGGACAATTCAGCAATTTTTGAGGGATACTTCTATGCTTCAACATCTATGCTCCTCGACTTCAACAACCGCCACACTCATCCAGGGGACATGGGGAGGGGCTCTCATTCAACAGTTGATTGACAAAGGACTGGAAATTATAATTTTCCCATGAACGTTGCACCGAGTCTCAAGAATCCTTTTCAGGAGGGTTCTGCATTGGGACGTTTGGTCAGGCGTGGCAGCATCACCTGGTGGCCAGCTGATGCTGGAGTTGGTCCCATTTGCCATCTTGTCGCCTGGGGACTTGTCACGTGGCCAGCCATCACCCAGAGAACCGGACGGTCTGACGGGGTCACCGCCCAGATCGTAGTGATTGAAGGGGCCGTCATCCAGCGAGGGCTTTGGGGGCGGTCCAATGGGAATTGAGCCAGGGCCTAAAAAAAGAGTGGAAAAATTAAGGGTGATTGAACGTCCGGCGATCAACACACAACACAACTAAAGCGGTGTCCGCGGAGCAGTTGCTCACCGAATTTGGAGGGGTTGGGGTCGAGAGGGGATCCCGGTCCCCCTGGGAAGGGGTCGGGCCCTCCACTGGGCTGCATGGTCCACTGATGCAGCCGTGATTGGGGCAGGTCCTTGCCGCCCAGGTCTCCCACCACGCCGCCCATGGGCAAGGAGCCACCTTGCAGCAGAGGCAGCACACGCGCACACACACGTCCTTCCCCAACCGCAGCAAACGCCACTCAAGCAGAAAGCAAAGCCGCCGAAACCACTGCCACACGCAAGCAGGTCGCTCGTATAAGCCTTCGTGACCTCCTCACGTTACCCGCCTCCCTCTTATCTCACCGTTAGAACGATCTTATTTCCAAACCCGATGCCGCCTTCTTTGTTTATATAAAATATTTTTCCAGGAAAACTGCATGAGCTGGTCAGAACGCTCCATGCCCCGTAGTGCTAATCTCTGGATCTCATCACTTTCCTCCGAATTCCCACCTCATGTGGTCTCTGAACTCACAGGGCTGTCAACCACTCACCACTCTTAGCTTGGCCTTTGCCGGGTTTTTCAATTCACAATAGGTTCCGACTTTTTTTTGTCTCCAACTTTTTAACAATGATAATAATTATAAAACACCCACTTGTCAAAGAGAACATAAAACCTGTTCAACAGCTTAACAGGGGTGAGTGGCCAGGTCTGGTGACCCATAAACGATAATCTCAAATATAGTGAGTTTAGTCACAGCCTGGTTCCCATTGACAGTACAAAACAAGCATCAATACATTTGTTCTTTCACATTTGGCTAGATTCCATCTTGACGAGGTAAAACATTTAGTTCGATTGCCACGTGACACGCATTTGTATGTAACAAGGCATGAGGGAACATTTGCCCCCTAGTTTGAGAAATAAAAACAGGTCACTTGAATGGATCTCGGAAACATTTCTTTGTTCTCCTTTCACAGGACGTTCTCTAATATAGGGCAATGCACTGCTCTGCCAGAGTTGCAGAATACAAAAAAGTTAAAACAATTTATTAATACACCAGAAAGTAAAAATCCTGCATACGCATGGATTAAGCAACACTTTCCAAAAATGAATTTATCTTCCGAAGTATTGAATTTGCAGTACAGAAGCCTACAGGTTACTACCAGGACAAAACACATTTGTATATTTTCAAATCTTTTATAAGTGTATCCAATTTTCGATAGGGTAAGTTCCAAATAACACCACAACTTTACACTAAAGTTATGTTGATATTGGATTCTCTTTATGCGAGCTATAGTTCCTCCCCGGATGCATGAACAACTTGCAACCTTTGTTGGAAAGCGTAAATAAACACACCACAAAGCAAGCGACTGTGGGCAAAAGGGGGAAAAGGAATATACTGCTGCTTACCGATGGGGAAGTTGGGTGGGCCAGTAGGCGAGGGCATGGGGAAGCCCCCGTGCTGCATGGGCATGGAGGAAGAAGCTGGCGCTTGCGCGTCTTTGGCGTGGCCGTCGGCGGGGCCTCCGAGCCCGTGCGGGTGCCCGTGCATGCCCGCCTTGTGGCCTGGATGGTGGTGGTGCTGTGGGTGGTGGTGGTGGTGCTGGTGGTGGTGGAGGTTGTTGGTGCTGCCGTGGTGCGGGTGCTGCGGCTGGTGGTGGTGCGGGGGCCCTGGTGGGCCTGCGCCGCCGGCAAGGCCGCCGCCACCACCACCGCCGCCGCCGCCAGCGCCGCCAGCGCCGCCACCACCGCTCGGACCCGGGGGACCGGAGGGCGGGGGTGGCTGCTTCATGCCGAGCATCTGCGCCAGCTGACGCTGGTGCTGGTGGATCTGCTGCTGCATGGACATCATGGTGCGGGCCGCCTGCAACAAAAACAAAGGTCCCACACGCTTATCCTTTAGCAGGCTGTTGCGGAAAGTGCAATTAGAAAGTACCTATTAAGGCCAGTGCGGCACACCTAATAAAGGGGCAGTGTGGCTATACTGCACCAGGTAATCATACAAAAATCAGTTAACCTTGAAGAGGCCTAGGACCAAATTCTGATGTCACTTGGCACAAATATCAGCAATGAAAGAATCAGGTTCGTTCGTTGTGCCAAGTCAAGAATACATTAATGCTTGCGTAATCACTCGAATCCCTGATTCATTACAAGTGACAGCTCCAACGCAGAACGGAGGGGATTGTAGCCGTTAAATCGACCGCTGATGCTAAGTCGGGACACAATGTGGGTCAGGATGTACCAAGGCACCGGGTCTAATCTTGACGCTGGCGAACCGCCGCCCCCCACCCCGCCGCCACCCCTGACTCCTCTGCTCACCTGCTGCTCCTGCTGGTGCCGGATGGGGGCCGACACGTGCCTCTGGGTCTGCTGAAGCATCTGCTGCTGGAGGAGCATTCTCTGGTACGCCTGGGGATACACAGAGAAGAGGGGACGTTGTCACACGTGCCGGGAACAAGCACGGGGGGAGCTCGGCGATGGTGCATGAAGCCGCCCTGCGAGTGTGAAAGTAGCACTAGGTTTGTGCACGTGTAGGCCGTTGTTAATTCACTGTATAATGAGGGCCTACCTACACCATGCAATTGGAGGCAACATTACTGTACTTCACCACGCTTGCCAGTGCGGGTTGGCAAAGATGGGCAGCATACAATAATGGGTTTTTCTGCATTGCCCTTTGCTAACCACTGCATATTGCTGGGTTTACTTTATTACAAGCGTGGATTAAGGCTGAGGTGATTACACTCCACGACTCAGAACACATACTTGCAGAAGACTTAAGATGAGGACCTCGGAGATTAAAGTTGGTTTCCGTCCATACGGTCGGGAATATGGCCGGGTGGCGCAGTGGTTTAGAGCGTATAAGCTGTAAATCAGGATCTTGTGAGCTCTACCGTCTTTGGGTGTTAACTCAATGCTTCATATTTCCGAGGGTCGATAAAATGATTACCACTTTGTGACAACAGTGGTTGTCTGACGAATTGGTGCACCTCCCCACCCTTCATAGGAATATGCAATGTCAACCACTGACTTAACACTGCCTAAACAGGTGACCGAGCACCGTTCCATGCTCATTTGAGCAGAGAAAACACTCGGGACTTTTTGGATTGAGATCTCCAACCGTGTGCGCTTTACCACGAGTCTAGAACAGAAATCCGCAGTAGAGAAAGCATCTAAGCGATACCTCATCCATTTAACGAGAAGACAGGCGGTACAGTAAGACACATGGGCTCCATCCCACTCAGCTCAATGTCACACACGCGCGCAAAAACGCGATAACGAACAAGTATTAGCAGCAGCAGCGGAGTCTCTACCGCAACAAAAAATGTAAGGGGGAAAAAAATTGCACACGCAAGCATCGCCTAATGCCGTTTTGATTGGCCCAAAAATAATTTAATTCGTTGGTGTGGGTGCCGTGTCTGAGAAGAACCCTCGGCGGACTGAGCACAAACATGAAGTCATGTGACGCGATCCCCAGGGAAGGGGGCGGCGTACGCCATCGATTCGTACGCGTGACAGGGGTTGGGTGGGCGGGCGGTGGGGGAATGGGAAAGGAAATGAACGTTCCATAACAGCCGCGACCCGCAGTGACTTTACCATTTGCAACTGCGTGAGCTGGTTAAGAAGGTTCAGCTGCTGTGGGGTCATCTGGGGCTGGATGAGCGCAAGCAAGGCTGGGTTCAGGGTGCCGTTCTTGAAGCCGTACTGCAGCAGCTGTGCTTGAACCTGCCGCAGAGAAACACGCAAACATTCGTCAAGACACGGCCGCAGGTCGGATTCAATCCAGTCGCAGATCAAGAGGTTACCCCCCTCTCATCTCACCATACTCTGCTTCATGGGCTCTCCATTACAGCAACGAATGCTTTCTATCACCTTCCCCGTGGGGGGTTGCTCCTTCTCCACAATTACCCTCAATGTCTGGTACACGAGCCCCATCTGGCCATCTACACTGGCCACTCCCCACCTACGTTCAGGTGCAGGCTCATGAAAACCTCCTCTTCTCCTCTGCCAATAACAGACTTTACCCTCTTCAATAAAACATCGTAGTATATACACACACATCCATTGCCCCCCATGTGCTTCTGTACAGCGTCTTGAGATGTGGGTCTAATTATATCTAAATTGTCAATAGTCCGATGGGTGTGGTGGGGGGGAACGCACCTGAGTGGGCAGGATGTGGGCCGGAGGGACCTGGGCTCGCAGCCCTGGCTGGGGGAGGCTCTGGGGCTGCTGCAGGAGCCGCGAAGGGGCTCCCCCCCCGCCCATCATGCCCAGTCCACTCTGCAGAGCAACACGGCCGCCCAGTTAAGACACCAAGCACACACCCCGTACGTCTTGCACATCACAATGTACACACCATTTACATGGCGTGCACATTTTATACATGGCAGCCAGACAGCTCACATCACGTGTATGTATCAAGCACAGACATTACACAGCGCACACACCTTAGATATCCCGCATACACCTTGCGCAAGAACAACAAATGCCGCACAAAGCGTACACACATGAATCCTCGTGTACACGCATGCACGCGTTAACACACTACAAGCACAAGGTGTACACATGGCACACACCGCACGTACCCTTACACAACGTGCAAACTTACACACACACCGCAGAAACACAAAACACAATGCGTTTACAGTGCACAAAATGTTACAAACCACTTGCATACAATACACAAACCGCACACACATACATTGCGTATACCATTTTAAATCCACCCAACCACCACAGGTTTCCGAGATCATTATAAATACCTCGAGCAACACTGTCAAAAACACAAGTCGCACGAAAAAACATTAAAATGCACGCCCACTGACCGACGGGTGGCGCCACAGGCTCACCCTGTCACACCGCAGCCAACCCGAGAGGCAGTGTGAGGGATGTTATCGAGCGCCACAACACTTCCACATGCGCCCTCGAGGTGGTGTCGGAGGACAACATAATTAATAACGCCGAGTTGTCCTCCATTATAAATAGGACCGTGTTCAGGCGGTGGCTCTGGGAGGCACAGGAGACCTTCCCCCGGGAATTCTCACGCACCAGGCAGCCACGCGCTGGTCTCCCCATCGCCCGCGAGGCAACGGCCACGTGAGAGTGAGTGCTCTCGTATTTGCCACAAACACCGCGCTCCTCCTGGGTTTTCCCCAGACGGCTCACAACATAACGACAGATCCCCTTTATAAAATGCCACACGTCAGATTAACCACGTGCGGGCACACGAATCATCATAATTGCCGCGCAGGTGCAGCGCAGAAGATTTACAGAAACACCGAGGCAGAAAATCCCATTCCCGCATCGCCAGCACAGACACTAAAATCCTGAGCCAATGGCTGCATGGAGGGGCGGGGGGGTGCAAGAAGAGGGAGACTGTTGTCAGGTTCGCCACGATCTGGCTTGTGCAGTCATTCGTACGACTGACAGCTTCAATAACCTGCGCAGGCCACACCTGCAATTTTTAAAGCGGCGGCACCCCGCCAACCCCCCCCCCCACCGCCGACCGTGCGTTTAGTGGCAAGGTTCAAACCGCAAACGGAAATCTTCTAGAAACCATGGCAACCCTGTGGCCTGAACCCAGCAATGGGCAGCCCCAATGGCGGCAAAGTCTACTTGAATTAAGCAGCGGCAAGCGCGGTGAAGCAGCGCAGGAAAATCCCTCCCCCACCAACCCTTCCGAGTGGGGAATGCCGGGCAGGCAACTGGGACGATGCCGTGAAAACTCGGGAGGCTCTTGTGCAGCCCACACTGCTGTGAAAAATGATACTTTCTGCCTTTTCGAATTGGTTAGGGGGGCTAATGTCGGGGATAGGATTACGGGTTAAGAGTTGGAAAAAGGTTAGGAATAAAGAAAGGGCCAGGGTTAAGGTTGGGATTACAGATAAGAGTTAGGATTAAGGGTAGGGTTGGGTTTAAGAGGATAAAGTTAGGAATAGGGGTTAAGTAAGCTTAACATTCGGGACAGGGGTTCGAATTGGGGTTAGGGACAGTTTGGGGTAGGTGTGTGGCTGGATTAGGATTTGGTTATGACCACCGCTTGGCTGCAGCAATACTTTTGAGAGCAGGAATGTTGTGCACATCAGTGCCCACTTTCCGCCCGGCGTCCCCCAACTCAGATGACCCCCCTCCAACAATCATTGCGGTTCGAGCGAGGTGGGTAGGGGCAGCAGGGAAGTGTGGGTGGTGGGGTAAAGCGTGGGGGGGGGGTTGTATCTCGAGGTTACCTGTTTAGAAGCAGGGTTCTGATTGGATAGGCTGAGGGGGGCGAGCGATTGACCAGGAGGAGCAGGGGGGGTGGCCTGGGGTAGTTTGATACCGGGGGAAGGCAGGAACGGGGAGGCGGGGCAATCGTCACAAAATGCCCCGTCCGGATTGGTTAGAGACAGGCTCAGCTGAAGGGAGGGTGGAGAGGGAGGTAGCAGGCAGGGTGGGGGGTGGCAGCGTGATGGCAGGGTGGGAGCAACGTGAGCAGATCGGCCACGGCGGACAGGGAAACATCGCAGGAGGCGGGCGCCCAGGTAGGGCAGGAGGGGGTAAAATAATAAATGAACCAGCAAAACCATTCGGCAGAAAGTGGAATGGCCAAAAATGTTCAATATAAAGACAGCCAGAATTAAGGTCAGATGCATCAATTATAATGGGGTGATAATTGGGAAGGTCACAAAAGGGAGGAGAGAAATTAGGACAGGGTTAGAGCATTCTGAAACATCAAGCATACGGACTCAAAGCACAAAAATGCAGCCTATAAACAACAGCAACACTTAATAGAAAAACTGGCCGCAAACAGTGGCGAGCATTCACCTCTCCCGTCTCGGCACACTCTGCCCGACGGGAGCCAGGCGCGTGAGGGCGCTCCCCCCGTCCGCTCGGAATACAAACCTTGTCGAAGAAGGAAGAACGGTGGTCGAAGGAAGACTCTTTGTGCACGTTGGGGCGGGGCGGGAAGCCCTTGCCGATGACCCCGTTGAACTCGGGTCGGTGCTTGTCAAGGTCGCCCTTGCGATCCAAGAGGGCGCCTGGGACACAAGACACGCGTTCGCTCATCCTCCGCGACAAGAGACTTTGGGCAAAGAGGGGGGGGAGGGGGGACCTTGCTGGTGGCTCAAGGCGAACTAGAGCACTCGGCGCCGACCGAGAGCGCCGTCGCGCAAGTGCGTGAGAGCATGAACTCTCATTGGGGAGGGGAGGTGAAGAGGGGGGAAACCACTCAATTAAAATGTCATATGATGCTAAACCCAATAGCATCCGACAACAGTGATCTGTTACATTCAGTATTTCCAACCTGGGCTACACAAACGCACTGTATGCTTTCCATTGCATGTATGTGTATGCAAGGTGTGATTGTGCATGCAGTGTGCGCAGAGGTGTACTGTGTATGCACGCAAAGTGGTATTTTGTAACACAATTGTGGTGCACATACCCAAAGGGCCAAAACGTGAAATGGCCTGCAAAAATTAACACCTTCAAATTTGTAAAAGATAACACTTTTTTAAAATTGAGTATTGCAACGTGTTTGCATACAATATATGTGTATGAAAATAATGTATTTCCATGCAGGTATGTGAATGTAGTGGGTATGCATCATGGCCAGAGAAAATGTTGTGGGTACATGCATGCAGGGTGTTGCATGCAGTGTGTATGCATTTAGAGTGTTGTGTGTGCAGTGTATGAAAATAGTGGGTGTGTGCATGCATTGCACAAGTGCATGTTATGTATACATACATAACATGAGCATGCAGTACGAATGCACGCACGCAGTGTGTGGGTGCATTATGTATTCACATAGCGCGTGTACCTAGTTGGTACATATGCACGTACTGTGTACACATGTAGTGGACGCGCGAGGTGTACGCAAGCACGTAGAATACAAGAATGCACACTGCACGTCTGCACATGCTGTGTACAGGTGCGTGACGCCACACAGTATAGGCGCGTGCAGTGCGCGAGCATTTCAATGCAGGCCTGGTGCCAGGGGGGAGTATGGTGAATGGGATGTCTTACTCATTGCCTTGTCCACATTCATGCCGTTTCCACGCAGAGCCTCCTCCGCGGGTTCTCGCTGCAAGGGAGACGAAACAAAAGCCTCAGCGACTCCCGAGAATCAACCGCCCGTGCCCGATTCACTCTGACGTGCCGCGTGTGCCTGCCCGTGTAAGCGCCTGCGTGTGGACAATGCGAAAATTACTCGTCGATTTGGTACCAACGTCTGGTTGATGAGTTTTCAGAAATAATTAGCAATTTCATTACACACAACAAATGCCTTTGCGTGCATTAGCTACACAGTGCGAGGGTTGTTACAATTTTTTTTACTTGCATTACGTAAATAATGTGGTTATCACTAAATTAACTTGTTTGTAAACAAATGAAATCGTGGCTTGTGCAAATTTTGGTGTGTAAAATTTGAAGGATTCTTTTGATGGATGGGCTGATATTTAAAGGCCAGTTTCAAGCAATATTGATCCGTGTATTGTTTTTATTATTTCACATGTTATAAAGCTGCGTGTGAAATCACTACACCCAGTACCAATGCACAGATGGCTAAGAAAAAAATGTAATTTACCGACTGAGGAAAGTCTCACTTAGCATTACAACTCCTTTAAAACAGCATCCCTTGCTCTGGGACATGTCGGCAATTCTATTCATTAGTGTGTGGCCTCATGAGGAAGGAAAACGGAGAACCTGGAGAAAACATTTGTCACGGTCATGCAACGTAGGTCGTATGAAGGGCACTGCTATGTGTCCGGCCTCTGTAGAAAACGGCAGCGAAATCCAGGCACACGTTTCAAACAATGCTGCAAAACCCCTCCGAGTCACGTGGGCGGGGAATACGGGGTTCGTCCCGTCAATTCGAGCGACTCCCCCCGATGGAGCAGCAATAAAGCGCACACAGCAAAAAAGCCCAAAAAAATAAGAAACGTCCTTACCGGGAAGCCAATGTCAGTAAGCTGCTTAATGAGTCTGTTCACCCAGACTTCCTCTTGCCGTGTGGAGTTCTTAATGGGTCCCTGCAAAAGGAGACACGGAGTCAACAACCGCGGCGTTCCAGAAACGAGAGCCGGGTCGTCGAATGACCCTCCCCCACCCAGCCCGGCACATCGTCACGTGGGCCCCGAGAGCAGCTAGGGGCCACAGCCGTCGTCGTCAGCACAGCCCTGGCTCCGAGGCAGCGGTGTTGTGCAAACACTCAGTATGCGCGCTGCTGTCGAGCATTGCATGCACAGCTAATTTGTCAACCAATCCTCGCTGTATGGGTCGTGGGGTTATTTGACCACACGTAACCTCAGAAGGAATGTAACGAGAGAGCTATGGAGATTTCCATTCACATTATGGGCATCAAATCATATGCAAGAATATTTTTTTTTGGATATTCCAATGCATTTATGGAATCTGTGCAGTCATCGTAGATAACACATGTAATGATGGCAAGCAGGGCAAAACAAAATCAAGATTCTAAAATCAAATCATGACAATTCATCGAATCATGGAATGGCATCCAATCATGACATCTCTTTGAGCCAATTTCCTTCCCAACGGCAGGCAATGGGGTCTACCGAAAAGGATACCAAGAGAAGGCATTTTTAGGAGAGGATGCCTGGAGCCATGATAATGTGACGCGAAGATGACTGCGATCAGCTTGTCTCAGCCAAGCACGACACGCTCACCTTGGGGCCAAGCCTCTTGCCGCCAGGGCCCCCCCAGTTGTTCGAGCCAGGGCCATATGAGGGCCCATCCTGGGGGGGTCCTCCCCCTCCGTGCCACACGCCAATCTCATTGCCATCCTCCTCCTCCCAACTCGAGTGGCGGCTGCCTGGCGCATCTGGGTCTTCCCGGCTCCCGCCCCAGCCGCCTGCAACACGGACAGAGCAGACGGCAGAGCGCGTGAGATAACACGCGATGCCGCGAAACGAGCACCGACGCGCAAGACAAGACGGGACTTGCGTGCGCACAGTGCACACCCACGCACGTGCGCGCACATCAGAAGGAACCACAGGAATGTTCGCAAGTGAAACTGTGGCCCACCCTCGCTGCAGGTGCCCCCCCACTATCGCCCCACCTGGTTTGCTGGGTCCGCCCCAGCTGGAGTCGGGGTTGGCCCAGCCACCGCCGCCTGGGCCCCCACCTCCCACGCCACCCCCTCCTCGTCCACCTTCGCCCCCATTGCCGCCCTCGCGCGGACGTCCCCAGGCCGAGGTGCCGTTGTCTACGGGCGATGTGGGGTCACCCCACGAGCCCGAGTCCGTCTTGGAGTCACCCCATCCTGGAGATGACATGGAGGCCACGGGTCAGAGTTCACCAGGGGGATGGCACTGATGGAGCCCGCCGGCCATGGCACATGCACTGATGCTGTCCGGCATCACAAATGAGCCTTCGCTTTTAAAATATTAATGTCCTTTGACTACTCAGGCAAGTCTCACCAAGTCTGAAGACGTTTTCAAATGGGTCCTGTTGGGATTTTTTACCGTTTCTATAATTATGAACATTTGGTGCGAGTGAAAATAACTACTCAATCAACGGGGGCCACGTTAAAAGCTCCAGTACAGACAGATGCAATCCACTGCTGTACAGCAACCACCTGGCCACCTTATGGCCTCAAATCAAACCAATGTCTCACATTCACATACTAACCAGGCTCATCCAAGTTTAGTTGATTTGGTCGTAAGCCAAAATGTACCTTTAAAAAGTATTAATCATGAGTGCATTCCCTGTGGAGTGGCCGCGCAAACCCCATCACGCACCGCTGGGGGCGCTGGGGGACTTTCTCTCCTTGCCCAGGTCAGGTGGGGGGCCGCCGCCCCCTCCACCGCCGCCGCCGCCCCCTCCACCACCACCGCCGCCACCGCCCCCTCCAGCCGCCATGTTCTCCTTCTCCCACATGTTGACACCACGGTAGTTGTAGGCGGTGGGGTCGCCCCACGCGGCCGTGCCATCGTCCACCTCATTCTTGCGTCGCAGTGAAGGGGGTGACGGCTCCTCCCAGCCACTGGACTCAGCCTCGGCTTCCCGAGCCACTGCCGGGATCGGGCCTCCGATCCAGCCGGAGCCAGCGTTGGTTTTCCCTCCACCACTACCGCCACCGCCGCCGCCGCCGCCGCCGCCGCCACCACCACCGCTGTTGCCGCCGCCACCTGCCGCCGAGAGGACCGCCCCCTGGCCCAATGGGCCCTCCCGGGATACCGCCTGGCCCTGCCGGGCCTGGACCCATGGCACCAGGGCCACCCCAAGAGCCAGGGCCACCTAAGTCGGAGGATTCGGCCCACATCGGCAGGTTTGGCTTGGGGGGACCTTCCCAACTCTGCAAGCATACAACGACAACAGAGATTATTACACTGTCCACCGCTGGTGGGGGAGGAGACAACTACTGTTTGACAACTAGAAATCAAAGCTACGTATTTTGTTTTTGGGAATTCCAACACGTATCCCATGATTTTGGCAGAACTAATATAGAACTGTAACTGACACAAATTATCAATATATAACTTAATAAATGCTTTCATTAACTTAAATGCATTATTGCACAAGAAATAGGATAAGAAAATAATTCGGTAAAGATTTATGGTGGAAATAAAATCACACTGGCTGGGGTTACTCATGTCTGTGTTCTGGAAATGAAATAGGAACCCAAAACAGACTGCTAACAACCACATTATGTCACGATTCTAGTGGCGAGGGACCCAAAACTACAACCAGCTACAGAAGCGACATTGTGACATCAGTGCAGCGATGACAGCGATGGAAAAAGCCGGATGGAACATGGCACCTGTGGTCCTCGAGAGCCGTGCTTTGGGCTCCCCACTCCAGTTGTGAGGCCCGGCCTTGGCTCCGTTCCAGTTTCTCTCAGGGCCGCCCCCCTCCCACGGTTGAGGGGGCATGCTCTTCGATGGCTCCGCGCCCCCCCACTGGCTCATGCCAGGCTGCGCCTGCTGCTCCCATCCACCACCTGAGCCTCCCCAGCCTCCGCCCCTGTCTGCACCGCCACCAGGACCTTGTTTGGGGCCATCTCCTCCGCCCCAGCCACCCTGCTGCGGCCTGCGTGGGGGCCCATCTCCCCAGCTGCCAGGGCCCTCATCGTAGCCACCGCTGCGGTTCCGGTGGGAGGGGAGTTCAGAGAGTCAACAACCAGACTAGGGAAGGCCAGAAAAGGACACTTTAAAAATAAATGCGCACAAATATTCACTCAACAAATAACTAATTGAAAATGCATTTAAAAGAACAATGTCACCACTCTCGGGACCATGATCCCTTATAACCGAACCCCCTATCGCTCACCGTGGTTGCGCCGCGCGCACACAAGGCCCAGCTGTGGGCACGACGCACCTGTTGTCCCAGCCTTTGCTCGCTCCCCAACCAGGGCCCGAGTGCTGGGGGTGATGATGGCCTCCTCGACTGCCTCCTCCTTCACCACCACCACCTCCGCCACCACTTCCGCCGCCGCCGCCGCCGCCGCCGCCGCCACCACCGCCGCCACCACCGCCGCCACCCCAGCCAGGTCCAGGGGCGGTGCCACCAACGCCACCAGCTCGCTCTACGCAGCCGTCTGAGGGCTTGGCATGAGCCTTCTCGCGTTCAAACTTCTCCACATCCCACTGGGTGTTCTGCTTGATGGGTGTTTGGCCCCAGCCAGCGTTGGACAGGACACGGGGGTCTACGTCCTTAGGGATGGGCAGGGTCTCGGGCCGTTCTGGCTCTGGGCCGATCGACGTGTCGTACTTCCCGCGGCGGCCGCGCCGTGCCGGAGCACCGCCGCTCCCCCTCTCGCTACCGCTGCCTCTGTCCCCTCCCCGGCCGCCACCACCGCCGCCACTGCCACCACGGCCCCCGCTGCTGTCCGAGCTGCCCTCGCTGCCTGTGTGGGCTCCGTTCCCACCGGGTTTCCCACCCCCCCATGAGTTCCCACATTCGCTGCCAGGGCCCGAGCCAGATGTTCCTCCTCCTCCACCACCTCCACCGCCACCTCCAGGACCACCAGCACCTCCACTGCTGCCACCACCCCACATCGCACCGCTGCCACCGCCGCCACCGGAACCAAACTTTCCGCCGCCCCCGTTATTGCCTCCTCCGTTACCTCCGCCATTGTTGCTGCCAACATTGCTGTTGCTGGAATGTTGTTGGCTAGAAGAGTCTCCGCTCCGCCACTCGCCCACAGCGCTGCCACCACCGCCGCCGCCACCACCGCCGCCGCCGCTGTTTGCACCGCCGCCGCCCCACATTTCAATTGGTCCGCTGAAACCAGAACTCGGCTGATTTGCTCTGCCCCAGCCTCCACCATCTCCCCAGGAGTCTCCGCCCGAGGTTTTATTTTTGTCCGAAATGTCTTTTCCGGCGTCCGAGGAAGGTCTCCCGTTGGCTTCGATGGACCTGCGAATTGGGAACAGAGCCCCAACCAGAGCCTCCATCACCGCTGGCAGCTCCGTCCCGGTCGTCCTGGGTTGGCGGCAAACTTGGCCCCCAACCGCCGCCCGTGCTCGGCGCGTCACTCGATCCGCCGGCGTTTCTGGTGCCGGCATCGCGCCCGGCGCTGTTGCTTGGTCCGTGATTGTCGGGGGCAATGGCTCCACCCCGGGGCGGCCCGTCGGATGGGCCGGTGGGATCGCGGCCTCGTCCCCCGCTCCCCCAACCGCTGACGGCGCCGCGCCCCGTGCCGCCGTGGCCCCCATTTCCGTTCCCGGCGGAGGAAGTGTGCATCTGGGCGGCACCAGCCGCAGGTGCGCTCAAGCCCGACCCCTCGCCGCCCCCCACTGAAGGCCACGCTGCCGAATTGGCGCTCGGAGAGGGAGTGCCGCCCCCTCCGTTACCCCATGACCTACTCCCCCCGTCGTGTTTCCCGTCGACCCTAGCCCCAAAGTCCCAGTTTCCAGGAGCACCGTTGCCGCTGGTACCGTGATTATTATTACTGTTAGTCTTAGTTCCACCACTGTTGCCGTTCGAGGTATTGTATTGGTTCAAGCTTGCTCCTTCATTGCGATTAGCTGACGACGCCATGCTGGTGCTCTCTGTGCCACGGCTAGCATCAGTCGCGCATTCCGGTGAGGTCGTGGTCGTTACTGCTGCTGAGGCTGCCTCAGAGTCCTTAGAGAAGGGGGCCGCCCAGCCGAGCCGGCTCTGAGTCACAGCGACGCGCGCGCAGGACGGGCCGTTCTGAGATGAGCGGTCCCAGCGCAGACTCTCATACTGGGCCGCCAGACTGCTGGAGCTTAGGTCTGGCAAGGGTAGGAAACAGAGGTGGAAACACAGAGGTGGAAATACGTTACCTCAGCGGCACAGAAGTTACCAACATCACGCAAAAACTTTCAAGAGTGGGTGTAAGGAAGCTCGTGGTTTAAAGAACGGAATAAATATAAAGTGGTTTATTAAGCGATACTTTCGAGAGTCTGTTAGCTGTCACAATGCCATTTATAAAACACAAATATAGGCTAAACAATATTTCCATATGTCACATGTACATTAAGAAAAATGTTTAAAGGCATTCCCAAAGGGCAAACACACATTACTTTTTTTATTCTGTCATTTTAATTAATTCTGAAAGGAAAAATACATGTAACATTAATTTGGAGCGGGGTTACATGTTACGAGAATATAAAATGTGTTGCGTTCAACATTCAAAAGACAAACCATATACAAATCAGGATGAAACGGCTAAAATGAAGTGCACCAGTCCACAACAAACACGATAACACGTTAGAAAAAGCATTAATCAACTTGTACTCCAGAGAACACAGCTGTACTTTAAGAGCCAGCTGGATGAAGGGTAAATTATGATGGAGTGGCACTACCATGGTCAGCGTTAGGTCAACGACGATCGCCGTGGGGTAGCCACGAGCACATGAGCGCGCAGACGGCTGGGTCAGAGGTCGACCCATAATTGTACTGGACAGCACTGATACAGCAGTGTACAAAGATGGTCCAGGCTACACTGAGCAAGCATCTCTTGCATATACTGTACTCATCCAAGGCTAGAAATTTTCTTTAGCAGACAAGACATTCATGCATCGATTCGAGGCGTAAGCTTTGGCAGTGCAAATGCAATGTCAACTTCCCCAATCGGTTTGGACTTGGTGAACCGTATTCCGTCAATTGTCCGAGAAAAATGATTGCAATCCAAACTTCAGCAGAAGCCGCCTTTTCTTCGACAACGGAGAGACGCGGACATTAAAGGTGGAGCTCTGCAGCAGCCTGCCAAGTGTTTACAAGCGGCGCCGCTCGCGATATGCATTGCAGCCTGGACCTGCGCCATGTGCATCGCTCAGTGGATGCCACTGGCGCTGCAGCTCCATGTTCCATCCTTCCCCCTAGAAAAGCTGGTGCCCCGCGATGGCGCACGACCGCAAAACGACCAACAGGTCAGGGCTAGCGAAGGAAGGCGACCGCGGCGCCAACAGGGATGACACTAAAACAGGGTTTTTACGCGGACGGAACCTTCTAGCTGGCACGGGCCGACGAAAACGAGCGCATACGTACAGCCACGCAGCAGCACTGGAGGCCCGGGACGACATGCTGCTGTATCTGGGCACTGAGGTCGAAAGGAAAAAAAAACTTTCGGGGTCGCGTACGAATAAAATAAGAAACAATTGCATTCGACGGGCTCCCAAGCAGAAAGAAAGGAAACGCGACAGCGCCAACCGACTTATTTACTCGAGTTTAAAACAGTTCTCTGCGCGCGCCGTGGCTGCATTCACTGCCTGTTCAACATGGCGGCCGTGTGCTTGTGATTTGGGTGCGCAATGGCTGGCTCTCACTGGCGCCCGCCCGCCCGCTCTCTCCCCCCCACCCCTCGCTCACTCTCCTTCCCACCCCGCCATCCCCACCTCCCCCCCCTCACTCCCCCTGATCTCTCTCCCTCTTTGCATTGCGCGCTCTGCGCTGCACGCATCAGACTGCCAGCCTCGGGGAGGGTTCCGTGTAGCTGTGGGCAGTGCGGGGAGGGAGTAGGGGTGGGTGGGGAGGCTGTTGTGGAGGGTGGGGTACCAGCTATAGCATACGCCGTCGCATGAAAGCCCTCAATTTATTTGCCGTTCTAAAAACCCTCCCAGAGCAAGGCCACTTGCGCCATTGCCACGACTGATCTATAGTTAGATAAAGCAGCTGGGCCCTGCGATATGATATGCCAAAATGTTGCCTTGGTTTGCCTGCGAGTGGCGTCGCGTGCAAAATAAAGCAACGCCTCACGTTCGGGGACAAACGCAGCATTTGCAGGCATTGTTTTTCTCTCGCATTCACATCCTCTGTCCATTGCCCTTGTGCCCCCCCCCGCACCCCCCCAGGCTTTCCATTTCCTACGTCCCAGCACCCCCAGCCCCATCACCTCCCCGTGTCTCCATCTCTAATGCTATTAAGCAACCGTAATTCACTTTTTGAAAGTCAGCCAAGAAAATTCTGTTGGTTGCTTTCATGCTGCAGGGAAAGTCAATAGACTTCATTTGGATTCTCCCTCCGTACACACTACCTTTCTCTCCTACCATTTTTTTTAAAGGAACACAGTATTAGTGGCGTTGCTCGCGGCTCAAGCGCTGCTGGAATAATCGATTGAACATGTAAATATTTTGCAGGTTGCACATGACTTCCCGACATTCGTTAAACCGTTGTAGTGTTGAGCTTGATGGGCGAGCAAAGTGGCAAGGTTTGAATCCTTTTCACCTCATTAATGTTCATACTCTGCTCTGCTCATGATTCCACAAAGCAGGGTGGTGGCTACAGGAAAAGGGATTGGAGGCCAAAAATCAATAGCTGTTCAACAGCATGCCTGGTAATGTGCATGACTCTTATTAGTAGAGCTCTCTCCCATGGCCATTGTATTTGAAATCCGAGACACAAATCGTAAACGACACAGACCTCTGTTTGTACTGAATTTGTGATGTCTGGTAAAACCATTTAGATTTTCCACAATCCATCATCAGCTATACACACATGCATGCGCGCGGAAATGATTTAGCATTGTCCTTTTAATATTATGTGTAATTGTATTTATTTAAATATTACTTGAATGCTAATGCATTGGAGCACCTTAGAAATGCAGAAAAAAATTTAAGGACAGAGCATAACAGAGGAACAGAAGACACAGTACCATTATAACAGTAATAGATTCTCAAAAAGCCGGTGATCATGATCGAAAGTAGATTTTAAAAAGGATTTTTTTCTGCAGGACAATGCTTTGCTACGTGCACCACCGACGGTTTTATTTTCACGGCACCAAGGCATGTGTGGTCCAGAGCGCTTGGGGAAACTAGCCATGGTCTTAGCCAAAACATGGACTTGGGTAAAATAGTGGGGACATGCAAAAACATGCACTGGACTTAGACAGGACAGGGATATAGCTAAGGGAGCAATGTGGCAGGGCCACTTCTGATAATTCGGCATTTGCATTGATTGCCACATGTCGGTGTTATTTCTCATGCCTTCCTCGACCTCCACGCTCCAGAAACACCTGGGTTTACTCTACTCGCAAGCACTCCTCCAATTGTAGGGTCAGCATGACTACACCGTATCATGTCCGATGACGTAAATGTTTGCATTCAACGGTGGCTGACAATTTTCTGCACAAAGGCGGGGGGAAAAGAGTGAGGAGTGTAGGATCACTCCCCGGAATTGTGCGCGCACACACACAGGCTCGCTGAAAAACACTGTACACCGCCTGGATAATTGGCCTCTTTTGAGCAGTGAGGAGAGAGCCTGACTCATTCTTCAGAAATGTGGAATGCGCCATTTCAAGCGGAGGGGGGAGCGAGGCAGACTAGTGCAAGGTTGTGAGCTGTTCAATAAGCTCTGGAAATGGTTTCAGACAAAAGCATCTAAAACGTGGAGGCAAATCATTCTAAATGCCCGTTGTCAATGCAAATTAATGACGATGTGAAAGTGTGCTTGAAAGCATCAGGTTTAGCAACGACGGAAGTTAATGGAGAGTGGTAGTAATCATGTATTTGTTTACCCAAGTGTATAGGCATTTTTTCAAATGCCATGTGTGCATGACGTAATGGTTTGGGACAAGATAGTAAGAGATATACGTTCGCATGTAACTGCTATCTTGAATTAACCGCTTTCACGCGGAGGGTAGGTATTTGTAACTGCAACAATCGTCGTGTAAACGACCCATTTCCTTGGTGACTGGAAACAAGAACGGCAGTTTACATTGGCGGATGCTCAGGAAATTGGTATCAATTTCTGCAAAGGTTGTAATAAACTTAAAATTAAAATTCCACGTGAAAAGAAATAAATTCAAAACAGCTTTTTAAAAGGTCCCACATTATTGGAATGTTGGCCCCACCCAGACGCCTGGGTCAGCGCGGGCCACGAGCCAATGGCTGTGCTTTTTTTCCAAGCGCAGGCAACAAGCTAAATAAATAAGTGGGCAGTGTTTGTGCCTGCGTGTACGTGGCCAGTGCGCTGGACTCAAGGTGATGCCAAGGTCACTCGTGAAAAAAACCTCTCCGGAGCAGCGCGAGAATGCGCGCTTCACACAGACAAGGGCGGCTCGGGCCTGCACGTCGACTGCTGGGAAGCTTTTTGGAAAAATGCGCAGACAACCCCGCCGCCGTTCTGGAGCAGAGCTCAGAGCGATGTCGTCTCCCCCCCTTGGGCTGCTCCGCCCCCCACCCCGTGTCCATGTAGTGTGCTGCAGCGCCGTCGCGGTAAATAAACATTCGTACGAACACAATTCCCCAGCCGGCTCTTGAAGGCAACACCCGATCGCCTAATCCGCTGTGTATCTAGTGGACACGTATTTGGTATTTTTAAAACTTGCCAATTTTGTGAAATTAAAGCTCAACGTCACAAACCCGCGCGTCAGCAAGAGGGGCGAGCTTAAAATAAG